ATTATTCAAAATTTATCCTCGAATAACATATCGGCGAAATTAGCGCGGGAAAGCAATGAATTTCAAGTAAGCGTAATTCGTAACGTGGCGTCGATCATCGATTGAGGATCAAAATGGATCTCGTGTCTTGCTATGTAATCTTTATATAATGTGATATATAATATGAATATATATTTTAATCGTAATTTTTGAAGGTAAGCATTTAGTTGTTTTAATCAATTCAAATTAACGTTAATGATATCAAAATTATGCGATAGATTATGTCGTTCAATTATTTACATTCAATATGAACAACGTCATTGATAGAAAGAAAAAAAGTATTTTCCCTTTTGAAAATAAGAATTAAGGAATCTCCGATTCGATTTGCAAATTAAACAGGACATCCGGTATATTTCCATTAATAAATAACAAAGAACGTGTTTGAATCCGTGCATCCGTTCCTCAATTTATGAAAGACGATCTTTTCGGGAGAGTATCGAATCTTAAAAAGAGCGCGAAACGGTAAAAAAGTTCGAAGTTAGCGCACGCGCATAGAAAAAGTTGAATGGCGCGTCTATTTCAACGAGCTTAAATTAATTTACCAAACTATTTACACTGATCGCATCAAACGGAAGGTTGTCGAGCTTGTTATTACAACACGTGCTCGTCTCTCGCTTTACTTAAGCTTAGCAGCTTACAATTAGATACAGATATCTTAGTTAGTTTAGAGATAACTCGTGCGTGTATCATTATTATTATTATATTAGAGTGTATGTATATATATATATATAGTTTTTTTTGTTTTCTTTATGTATATGCATCATATTATATTATATTATTATATAATATACTATATTATTATATATATATCACTAGCACTAGGTGAGTGAGAATTGAAAAACATGGAGGTTACATTCGTGGAATTCCTTCCTCGTTCACCTAGTGCCCAACGCTTTGTAAAATAACTTACAACTGTTCTCATATACATATATAATCGGTGTAACTTTTTGTAATAACTTTAAGTGGACCCCAACGGTAGTCGAACGTGCACGCCTATGCCTCGAGAAGAGTTTTTTTTTTTCTTTTCTTCCCCCCCCCCTTTTTATTCAATATCAAGATTTTATAATTATCAAGTAAGATGGTTGAATGTGAAAATTCATAGGGAGAAACTTAAGTTAATTGTAAAGTTGGGAGAATGCTATTAATTTTTTTTTTTTTTTTTTTACTATTATCTTGGATGATTGGTTAAAAGTGGAGGAATATGGTTAATGTATTCATAGTTTGATGTATAAATTTGATAAAAATTCTTAGAATGTGAATATACTTGTTCGTTTAAAATAAAATTATAAATATATATACTTTATAAATATACGTATATACAGTGGTACAGACAAAAGAAAATAAAATTATTATTATTATTATTTATATTACATGATATTCATGCTATCATTCCGAATAAATATTACGCGATTAAAAGAGAATTAAAAATTTGAATTACAAAATAATAAATAAATTATCGTTGAATATTGTCCTTTTTTTCTCTTTTTCTCACATATCATATTTATTTTTTTATTTTTTTTTTATAAAATAACGATGACATATTGTATCAAACTTTTTTTTCCATATCCCGTTGTATATAAATATACAAAGTGAAGTACAATAAACGGTACTTTAAATAATTATAATCAGAGATAACAATAAAAACCTGACTTCTGTTTTCCATTGTTGTTTCCGTTTGTAATACAATTTTAATTGTGTCTAACTATTTGAAAAATACGATATATATAGTCCATAAAATTCTAAAAAGTTTTGCCATAAGATATCATCGATATTAAAAGATCTATAGATATTACGCACTATCTACTTTCTTGTCGTGAAATATATTTGTAAAAAGATATCAATTCCCACGAAAGTCTTCTCGACACACGGGCATAGAAGAATTTGTAACTGTTTCTTTTTTTTTTTTTTTTTTTTTCTTTTAACTTTTTCCCTTTTTTTTTTTAAGTATAAATATTGCAGTGTAAATAGATAATTTAAATATTTGTTACTCGAAAGACACATCTAGATCGCATTTCTCGCATTTGCACCGTAAGATCATCGGAAATTACACGTACTCGCTATGATTTCCTCTCCCTCTCTCTCTCTCTCTCTCCTCT